CTAATTAACAATTAGTGTGTAACCCGTCGAAATTATGACGATATTTTTCTGAAAGGATTTAGGCAAGCATCCTTATCGGGGATTCCAAATAAGTTTTCTTCCTTTTTTTGTAAACCATGTGACGAAAAGGGTGGACATGTGGGTGGCGTGTTTGTGAGGGATGTTTTGAGTTTTGAAGAAGGTAGTAAGTTCTTGAGGCACGAAACCTTTAAAGGTTTCGATGAAACCAGGTGTAGCGATGACACTATGAGGATTGTAGGTAGGATAGTTAAGAAAGTAAGCAGAGTTGGTGAAGTTTTTGATGATGGTCGCTATATGAGGTGAAAGAGTGAGATTGTTGATGAGGCAAGTTTTGGTAATAAGTTTTTGTAGTTGTTTGTTGCTGTTTTCAAAAATGAGAAGTCGGGAAGATTCAGATTTAGAGCAAGTCCAAATGTGATTGTTAGTTTCTGTGTGTAGTGAGCAGCGGTTACAGATGTCTGATGAATATAAGTGTGGTTTGTATTTTTTTAGATTATCTAGCGTAGGAAGCAGATTGTGGATGGCTTTAATGAAGAAGGTGCGGGTATTGGAAAATTGTTCACTTGCGATTAGCGAATTGGTGCCAGAGTCCTGGTGCCATACTGAGTGTGTTGCTTTCCAGTCCACTGTAAATCTGAATCCAGCTTTGAGCGCAGGATAAAGCACAGTTTGGTTTTGCCATTTTAGAATGTGTTCAGTATTATCTTGGAGCTTTAAGAAGTGGCGTAGATTGGATGTAATATTGAGTTGATTGTTGAAGACAGGATAGAATTTTAGAAGTGGAATAGTTTTAAAATTGATACTGAGTGAGGGGTAAGAGCATGCGTCCTTGGCTAATTGATCAGCAAATTCATTGCCAGGAATACCAGAATGTCCTTTGATTTTTACTAGTGTAAGATGTAAGTTTTTTTTGATGATATTATGGTGAATGGTGAACCATAAGTGCCAATTGGGATGTTGGAGCAGTTTGCGTAAAGAATGTAGGTGATGGTTGATAATATTGTACTCAAAGCCTTGAATTGTTGCTTGAGAATCAGAAAAGATGGTGCAGTGGCAATTGTGAGGAAGATGTTCTGTGATTGTAAGAAGAGCGTAGGTTTCAGATTCAGTAGTAGATGTGCAGGATGGTAAAGAATGTTGAAGAAAGATTGTTGAAGGCCAATTTGTCCAGGCAGTTCCAGAAATAATGTTGGAGGAGCGCATATTTTGTATGGAGCCGTCAGTAAAGAGTTCAATTGATGTAGTATGTTGCAATTGATTATTGATATTTTGCCATAAATTGAAGTTTGGATTATTAGATTGCAAGTGAGAATTGGGAAAGTCATACTGTGTGCCAGTGTAATTTGGTCTGGATTGAAGAAAAGTTCGTTGAGAGATTAGTCTGGTTGGATCATGAAGATTGATAGTTCGTTGTTCAAGAAGTTTGAACCACCATGGAGTGGGTCCGTGACGAGTTTTGCGACGACGGGTTTTGTATTGTCGCCAGGTGATTAAAGCATTGTTAGAGTACTTGGTAAGTTGTTGAAGGGAGAGAGTTTTGTCCTGTCTGAGAATATGACGACATTTGAGAAAGATAGGCCAAGGGCCAAGCAAATTTTCCAGTGGCCATTGTAATTCATTGGATTGGAGTGGTGTTAACTGATTGTTAATTTGATGGGTCTGGTGAAAGCTGATGTTGCGATCATACATAAGAGTGAGGATGGATGCTATTAGGTTTTTTCCTGGTTTAGAGTATTCAGGTGTTGGAGATGACAGAATGGGATTGAAGGACCATCTTTGTTCTTGTAGTGACTGTAGTCTGATGAAAGTAATTTTTCCAAGTATGCCAGGATCGTTTAGTCGATAGAAAAGTTCTGAGATTTTGTTTCGAGATTGTACTTGCCACAGATTTTCTAGGTGATACAATTTTGGATGATACAAAATAGAATCAGGAGTGTGAAGAGGGAGGTGAGCTTTGTTTTTTATTAGAGCTTTGATTGGTCGCATCAGTTTTTCGCAATCCGTTTTGGAGAACAGCAAAAGTTGTGATTTGTATTCAAAAGC